GGGAGGGAGGGAGAGAAGAGCAGGAGAGAATGGAGAAGGTGTGATGGACAGGACTGGACAGGGTAAGAAGAGAAGGCCAGGAAAAAGTTGAAATCTGATACCTGACGGGTGACGAAGTACCTGTTCGGAGAAGACGCGGATCTTTATCGAAGGACCCTAAGACTTTTGTTCTCACTTGCCTGCGAGAAAATCTTTCCCGACCGCAGGTACGACGATGAGCTTGATTCTGGTTTACTGACCCAGAGGCCTCAGCATTCAAGGAGGGTACTCGATCGCAAATGCCTACTGGTACTGGATCCAGGGCATCGAGGCCGTGCACCACAACGAGCTCGAGATGATCAAGGCGGAGATGCTGCAACTGGTGAGGCGACAGATGCAGCTGCGCTGCCGATGCTCGTTGCCTGATTGAGGTTGACCAGGTAGCAAGAGACGTCAAGGTGCACGAGGAGAAGAGGCCGTACAAGGAGGTTTGGAGATGCAAGGGGTGGTGAGGGGCTGAAGGGAGAGCAGGTGCTGCAATACTTCATCGAGAAGGAGCAATTCATCGCTGCAAAGCTCCTCTCCTCTCGCATCCCAATCGGAGGGATGGTGGGGAACACTTGACGGGTCACGAGTCGCTGAGCATGCAGCAGGTAGACGTCAAAGTTTGTATGATCGAAGAGAAGCCCCATTTCCGTCTGAGGTGAAGGAGGAGAGGGCTGAGCAGGCGACTGAGCTCACCGCGCTAGTTTCTTCCCTGTGTTTGAGAGCCTCGGCAAGTTGAAGAAGATCCCCTTCGACCTCCAAATGTGGGGCTGGCAGGCTCCTCCTCTCCCTCCCCTCCTTCCTGTCCAACTCCTACTCCACCACCATATGTCTCCTGCTCTCCCAACTCATCCACAATCCTAGAGCGGTCTCCTTTCTTCTCCACTCCCCCACACATCTCCCCCGTCCTCGTCTTCCTCCTCTTTCTCACCTCGCTGTTTCCATCCTCTGCAGATACCCCAAGGGTGGCGTGATGCTCACTTACGGCTCTCGCTTCGTCGATCAACCAGCCATCACGAGCGTGAGCTAGAGGAGCCAGAGAGCAGGGGCAAGGCAGCTGATCTAGCTGCAGGCGATACTCGAGCTTCGAGAGTGGTCCAAAAAGACTGGAGTGAACTGCAGCGCAGGTGAAAGGAGAGGAGAAGAGAAAGGAGAGGAGGAGGAGAGGGAAGAGGCGAGGCGAGGCGAGGCGAGGAGAGGAGAGGCGAGGAGAGTAGGAGAAGAGAGGAGAGAAGAGGGGGAAGGGGAAGAAAGTGCGTCTCTGACATAAGATAGACTTGTGTGATGTCGAAGAAGGAGATGGAGCACAGAAGTTGTACATCCATGCGTGCGAGGTGACTTGAGCTCTCCTTCCCTCTTCCCTTGTATTCCATCTGCACTTCATTGCTTTCCTTCCTCTGTTCCTTTCCTCCCTTTACTCCAACGTGCAGGTCCGACTGGAAAACAAGATCTCAGAGCTCGCAAAGCAGATAGCAAAGCGAGCCGGTACCAGCGCTGCTTCCTCTAAGCGCTCTCACTGCGATGCTGCAGAGTCGAATCGCCTTCGGGTTGTCTGCATAGCAGGCAACTTTTGACACTCTTCCTCCTCTTCTTCTCACCAGCACTCAGGCCCCACGGCTTCCGGCAAAACCACCTTCTCGCACAAGCTCTCCCTCGCCCTCCGTACTGAAGGTCTTCCCCCACGCCTCTAATGCTCCCTTGCTTGCTCCTCCTCCTCCTCTCTCCGTCTCCTTCCTGTCCTCACGTGTGATTCAGGTGTGTCCTCCATGCCGCTCACTGTGGATCACTACTACCTGCCGCTGGACCGTCAACCCAAGTACCAGATCAGACACAACAGAGCGTAAGTGGAGGGGAGAGGAGAGGAGAGGAGAGGAGGCAGTGACGAGTATGCAAGGGATGTGGACTACGACTCCATCGAGAGTATGGACGTCGAACTCGTTCAGGAGCATATCATGGCGCTGACTCATGGAGAGACGGTCTCCCTCCTCTTCGCTTCCGCCTCCTCCCCTTTCTTCCCCGCCCGATCAGCCTCCTATCTCAGCTTCTTGCCCTTCTCCTCATTCTGTAACCATGCCCCTTTTCTCCTCTCCCTTCTCCCTCCGCAGTTACCGTCCTCGTCGTTTATACCACACCCTCACCCGCTACAACTCCCCCCTCTGCTCTTGCAGGCCTTCCCCCCTGGTGTTGTGCTCTGCTGCCTCTTTCTCCTTTTCTTCATCAGGCTGCTCAGCAAGGTCGTGCCGTTCACAGACAAGTGCAGGTCATGACGCCGATCTACAACATGAAGACAGGATACAGGTGAAGGAGGAGGTGGAGGAGGAGCAGGAGGTCATGGAGACCTGAGGAGGGGGCCAGGGAGCATCCAGGGAAGGAGATGAAGCTGGAGGAGGGAGGAACGCTGATCATCGAGGGCATTCACGCGCTCAATCCCAACTACACCTCAAAGATCCCTGAGAACGAGAAGTTCAAGTACTGATCCCCTTCCCTTGCTCTTTCCTCTTCTCAACCTCTTGGCTCTTGCTGCACCTCCTCTCCTCCCTTTCTCGTCTTCTACCAGCTCTGGTGGCTCTCCTCGGACTTGCTGCTAGCCTCGACCTTCTTTCTCCTTGTCTTGTCCTGACTCCCTCTCAGGGTCTACATCTCACCCATCATGACGCTGCAGCTCGATGACTTCAATGTCTGCAAGACCACCGACCACAGATTGGTACGAGAGGAGGAGGAGGAGGAGGAGGAGGAGATGAGCTGCAAGGCAGGCGCGACGTATGTCAAGAGATTATCTCTTCCGAGGAAACAATGCAGCTAAGGTGAGCTACGGTCAAAATCAGGATAAAGAGTGAATCAAGGGAGGAGAGGAGAGGAGAGGAGAGGAGAGGAGAGGAGAGGAGAGGAGAGGAGAGGAGAGGAGAGGAGAGGAGAGGAGAGGAGAGGAGAGGAGTGATGATGGTATTTCAGACTCTATCGATGTGGAGCAACGTGAGGAGGGGAGAACACACGTGGATTTTCCTCATCAGAACGAAGCCGACTTTATCTTCAACTCTGCTATGCACTGCGAACTCCCAATCCTTAAGGTGAGCAGAACAAGCGCCCACCCTCCTCTCCCCTCCTCGAATCTCTCCTAATCTCCGCCGCCGCCGCAGCCCGTTGTCCATCTCCTCTCCCTGTTTCTCTTGTTCCTCCCTCCCTCCCTCCTTACGTTTCTCTTCAGGGAAGACTCGATCAGCTTCTCCGTACTGTTCCTCCTGACAATGACAACTTCGTCAAGTGCTCGCACCTCCTCGCCGTGCTCGACACTTTCCCTACCTGGCAGGTCCGTGTCTACTCGTCATGGTGCTTTCACTACTAGATTTCCGCCTTCTCCTCAACCCCCTCTCTTCATCTCATCTCATCCCATTTTCTCTCTGTTCTCCGCTATTTCAGTGTTTCCTCCTCCCTCATCTCCCTCTCGTTTTCGTGCGTCTGACGGGCTTCTTGCTGCTGTAGGAGAGTCCCGTCGCTTCTACTTCGATCCTACGTGAGTTCATAGGAGGTAGTGCCTTCAATGTGCACTAGCTCCTTCTCCTCCTCTCTCCCACTACGAGCGACGGCCCTACAGGAGCGATCTGTCGTTACGCATCGAAGCTCATGATTCCTTCTTCTGGTGAATCCAGTACTGTCACATTCAGATGCAAAGCACGTCGTAATGGAAGAGCAAAACAAACAATTCACCTCTCCTCTCACACAGTAAAGAACTCTCCTCCCTCAGACATCTCATCAACCCACCATTGCATCTTAGATGTACAGGAATCTCTTTCATATGTCATATAACATGCCTTCCCACACGCCTCCTCCTCCTCCTCCTCCTCTTCCTCCTCCTCTTCCTCCTCCTCTTCCTCCTCCTCTTCCTCCTCCTCTTCCTCACTCTCTCACTCACTCACTTTCCTTACCCTCTACCCTTCCAACCTCTCTCGCATCCTTGCCACCCTCTTCGTCACTCTCCCTGCTTGTCATCTCTCGCTCTCTCCTTCCCTCCTCTCTGTCTCTCATCCCAACTTGACATCCTTGTTCCGCCATCAACCACGTCCCTTGTCTTATTTCCTCTGTGAAACTTCATCACTGCCCTTCATCTTGTTATGGAGCAAAGAGTCTTCTTCCTCTTTCTTCCCGCACCATGTCTTGCTTCTGAATGTGCGCAAGGATCGGCAGCCTGCCTCCGAGGAGGAGGCGTACACCCTGTGCGCCAATGCCGCAGGCTCGTCGGGGGGGGGAGGAGCATTGGTGGAGGTGATAGCGGCGCTAAGGTGCGGGAGGAGGAGGCGAGAGCAGACGCTGACCGGGAGGCAGGCGGTACAAGACGAACGTGAACCTGCAAGAGAAGGTGGAGCAGAGAGCGCGCGACCTCTCGCTGACGCTGAGCCTGCAGGGGCTGATGGCCATCTCCTCTTGCCTCATAGAAGCGACTTCCGAGCTGGACCCCAGCACAGCTCAGGTGACCTGCGAGATTGTTCTTGACAGCCTCAAGTGCCATGCGGACGTTGCGAGGGTGCAGAGAGGAGGGTTGCTGGCCTTGTCCGGCATCTTCAGCGGCCGAGGCTCGGAGCTCAAACCTTACTTCGCGAACCGATCGCTGCTGGCCTGCCTGGACGCCATGCAGCGATTCCGCGGGGAGATGAGCGTGCTCAGCGTCGGGTGCCTGGCACTGTGGAGCATCTTGATGGACATGAAGCAGAGCCCCGGGGACGGAAGCACAAGCAAGGAAGTTGTTCGCGCGCTCCTCTCAGTCCTCGAGTTCTCCCCCAACCACCAAGACTCTCACGTCACGGCCTTGAGCGCCATCAGTCAGTGTGTGCACTCGGCCTCCTACGCTGACGTCACGAGGGATGACATGGAGGTCATCTTGAGCAGCATAGACAAGAGCATCAGCGAGGAGCGAGTGGCGGATCAGGGCCTGCGCACCCTCCTCTCTCTCCTCGGTCATGACCTGCTGCGGCCCCAGCAGAATCTCCGCGTGTCTCTGGGTGCTCGCGAGCTCGCGGAGATCGTGGCGATAGTCAGCCGGGCGTTGCAGGCGCATCAGTCGAGGAGGAGCATCGTTGAGAGCAGCAGCTTGATCCTGTGGCTGCTGGGAGGGAAGAGCAAGCAGTCGCGCGTGAGTGACGAGGCGATCCTGATCCTCTTCAACGGGCTGCTCGAGGATCATCCTCTCACCCTTGAGATCGTTCTCGCTCTCAGCGCCTCCTTGACTTACTCCACCATCGAGCAGTGTGAGCGCCTGCAGTGGAGCCACGTCAGTCAGGTGGTGGAAGTGCTCGAGCGATCCTCCGACGCGCTCCTGCTACAGCACGCTCTTATGCTGCTGAGCAACCTGATGTCACGGCAGACGTTCAACCAGCACATGTCGCTGCAGGGAGCGACGGGGAAGGTGGTACGGAGGATGCGAGGGATGGAGCACAGCAGAGAGCTGGACCGAGAGAAGTGCGCGCTGCTGGGGAACCTCGCGGTGACGGAGGAGAACCGCCGGATGATCGCAGAGAGCGAGGGGATCGAGCTCATCTTCGACTGCGTCGCCGCCTTCCTCGAGTGTCCTGACGTGCAGGAGAAGGGCTCCACTGCGCTCCTGAACTTGGCGGTGCAGGACCAGTACAAGGTGAGAGAGGCTGCTGGAGAGGCTGCTGGGGTCAGTTGGTGACGCGTAGAGCAGGAGGTGGTGACAAGAATGGGAGGCATCGAGTATGCCCTGGAAACCATGAGCAGACACCCAGGAGAGATCCTGCTGCTGGAGCGAGTTTGCGGGCTGCTGGGGAACCTCGGGCTGAAGCGAGAGAACCAGCGGGAGATCTTGAGCAAGGGAGGAGTCATCGCGATCCTCTCCTCCATGAAGCGACACCCGCAGGCCTCAGGGCTTCAGTGCAACGCGTGCGGGGCGATCTGGAGCCTGGTGTCGAACCAGGAGGTGCAGGTTGAGGTGGGGAGACGAGGAGGAATCAGCCTCATCGTGGAGGCCATGAAAGCGCATCCAACCAGGATGGACGTGCTCGAACAGGCTTGCGGTGCGCTGGGCAACATCGGGGTGAACGAGGAGAACAAGGAGAAGATCGCGGAGCTGGGAGGCATCGAGATCATCCTGCAGGCCATGGAGTCGTACATGGACGCCCCGTCGCTCATCGAGCGAGGGCTGACGGCCCTAGCAAGCCTTGCGTGGAGCTCGAGCAACCAGAGTCACATCGCGAGGGGAGGAGGGATCGACCTGATCCTCAAGCTCATGGTCCTCCACCCCAACGTTCCTGAGATCCAGCAGCGGGCCTGCACAGCCCTGGGGAACCTCGCGATCAGCGACGACAAGAAGCTCTCGATCGCGTCCAAGGGAGGGATCCAGCTCATCCTCAAAGCCATGAGGATGTGCGAGATCGGGCGGGTGCAGGAGCAGGGCTGCGGCGCGCTCAAGAACTTGGCGCTGATTCAGGAGAACCAGCGAGTGATCGGGAGCTCCGGAGGGATCCCAGTGATTCTTCATGCCATGGTCAAGTTCCGCGCCAACCAGGAGCTGCAGCTGCACGCATGCGGGGCCCTGTGGAGCCTCAACGGGCTCAAGGAGAACAAGGAGGCGATCGTGAGGCAGGGAGGTATCGACCTCGTCCTCTCTGCCCTCAAGAACTTCCTTCACCAGCCGGAGGTGGTGGAGCAGGCGTGCGGGGCCTTGTGCGGGCTGGTTTTCAGGAACGACAAGAACAGGAGCAGCGTCAAGGGCAAGGGAGGAGTGGAGCTGCTCAAGAAGGCGCTGCAGACGCACTCGCGACACCAGGGGGTCACCCAGACCGCCACCTTCTGTCTCGAGGAGCTGCTGTGAGATTTAAGACATTTAATACACAACTTGCTACCTACCTCCCGCCTCCACGAAGCTCCTGAGCAACGAGTCCACCTGCGCTCTCTCACCATCAGCAGACCCCCAGCAGAGGTCGGGCTTCACCTGCTCGTCGTCAGCTCCTCGCAAGTCCCTGCACAGACGTCAGCACGTGATAGTCCAGGAGGAGGCGTCACTTGTTGCTCGGCCCTCGGAGGTCACGAAGGGACGAGACCTCCTGGTCGCTCCTGCCGCCAGCAGACTGAGAGGAGAGCGAGACGTCTGCTGCTGACTGGACGAAGACTGAAGCTCCAGCTAGCGATCGATTCACCTCTTGCACGCTCCTCGGCCTCCGCAACAAGTCCAGCTGAGCATCGGAGATGTCAAGGGAGGAGGCGATCGGGAGAGTCCCAGCAAGAAACGAGTCTTGTTCTTCCTCCTCCTCGCCTACTGCATCGCTTGCTAGTATTCCTGTCGCACCAGCTTAGCTCGATCCTTGTCTTGTCTTCCTCACCAGACTGCAGTGAATCATCGACTCCTCTAAACATCTGCACGTGCTCTCGCGAGTCATCTGCTTCCCAAGTTATACTCCTCCTCTGCGCCTCTCCTTCTCCCCCTCCCCCTCCCCCTCCTCCTCCGTCTCTCCCTCCCTCTCGCTCCCTCTCGCTCCCTCGCACTTTGTGACCTGCTGAGAGTCTAGGTTGAGAGCTCCAGGGCTGCTCGCCGTCTCCCTTGGGCTCAGTCGGCCTCCCACCAGCTACCTTGAGCCTCCGCTCGTCCGCCAGCCACTCGCGATCCCTCGAGCCCCGCAGGTACTTCAAGTCTTCCGGCAGGAGAAGTGAAGCAGCAGAGGGGGCAAGAGAAGCAGGAGGGAGAGGGGAAGGAGCAGACGGGCCAAGAAAGGAGGGAGGGAGGGAGGGAGGGAGGGGAGGAGGACGCGGCTTGTGGTGCGGGGGGTCGAAGTACTTGAGGTCGTCACGAGTGATCCCCGGGAACCTCGTGTGCGGGAGATCGTCTGACAACCCCGAGCTGGGCTCCAGCTGAGGCAACTCCTCTCCTCTGCTCGCTGCCGGCGTCTGCCTTCGCTCCTCCTCTCCTCCTCCCCTCGCTCGCAACAGAGGTCTCTCTCGCTCGCGTCGCAAAAAATCTCGTAGCGAGTCTTTGGGCACCGGAGCAAACTTCTTGAGCGGCAAGGAGGAGGAGGAGGAGGAGGAGGAGGGAAACCCCTTGACTGGCAACCCGAGCTCAGCTTGCAGCCTCGAGTGCTCGCGCAACAGATCCCTGTATTCTCAGTCACATGAAAGAACAGGAGGAAGCGACTCACCGCCGCAGCGCCGCGAGCGTCTCCTCCACACTTCCCTCTCGAGCAAAGTCCAGCAACGAGCGCATGTCCGGCAACGTCTCCTCGTCCTCACTGGGCGTTTCTCGTCCTCGCCCTCCTCCCTTTCCCCCTTGTCTTCCCTCATCCCCATCGTCCTGCCTTCCCATCCTCAGCCTCCTCCCCAGGTTCTCGCTCGTGTACTTCCCTTGCTGCTCTTCCGCCCTCTTTCTTCTCTCGTCCACGTCTGGTTGGCTCCAATGGGGAGCAGGAGAGCTGACGTCAAGAGCCGGAGGACGCCTACCTCCCATGCTCCTCTCCGCCTCCTCCGCCTCGGACTTGCTCGCCGCTCGCTGGCTCCTCGTATCCTCCATCTCAGCCTTCGCCGCAAGTTCAGCAAGCTGCCTTTCAAGTCTCTCTGCATCCTTTCTTTCTTCTTCCGCCTCCCTCTCTTGCTCCGCCTGTTTCCTCCTCCTCCTCTCTTCGATTTGAAGCTCAAGCTCAGCCTTGTACTGCTCCTGATCCACCGCTCGAGCTTGGCTCCCTCCCCTGCCTTCTCTCTCTGCACCAGAAGCCATGGGGTCTTCCGTCAACCGTGACTCCCTTCGGTTCGATGCCACAGGAGCAGCAGGAGCAGCATTGGCAACCACGTGAGACGCCTTGAGAGGATTGCCAAATTGATCGCGAGGGACCTGAGCTCGAAGCTTCTCCATCTCGATGTCTCGCTGCAGTCTTTCTTCCTCTCTCCTCTCTCTCTCCAGCTCTTCTTCTTTCTCCCTCTCCTTCCTCCTCCGGGCAAGCTCCACCTGCTTCCTTAGCTCCTCCGCATACTCCAGCCGCTTCTGCTCCCGGTGCTTTGCGATCTCCTCTGGCAGACCTCCAGGAGAAGAGGTCGGAGACAGGGCGGTCATGGAGAGGTTGGAAGGTGCAGAAGTAGAAAAACGTGCAGTTGAAGACATGGCAGATAGAGGAGGGGGGTCAGCAGCAGCAGCAGCAGCAGCAGCAGCAGCGGAGGTAACAGGAGCCGCAAGAGTGTGAGCAGAAGGAGGAGGAGGAGGATGAGCTGAAGCTGGAATGGTGGTGAGCAGGTCACGGGTCTGCTGGGAGAAGAGCTGAGCTGATCGAGAAGAGGCTTGAGAAGGAGGAAGATGATGGCTCTTGGCATAGAGCTGATCAAGCATTGAGAGCTCATCGGAGCGCATGTCCGGGCCCTCCGAAAGTCTCTTCTTCCGGTTGATCTCCTGCTCCTTCATCTGGCTCCTCAAGAACTCCGCGTACTCCTTCTTCTTGTCGCTCTCACCTCTCTGACTCCGGGAGCTCTCCAGCACACCGGATGACCACGTCCTGTCGTCCTCCCCCTCGTCGTTCCATCTTGACGTCCTCTCGGCCCTCGCTTCCTCTCTCTTGTCTCTGCCGAGCGAGTCGACGACGAGCTTCTTCTCTTGCATCTGCTGCTGCAGCTCTTGCGCATAAAGCTTCTTCTTGCGCGCCAGCTCCATCTTCTCGCTAACGCTCGACACCTTGTCCTCCTCCTCCCTCTCCCTTCTCATCTTCTCCTCCTCCATTTCCCTTCTAATCTTCATTTCCTCTCTCTTCCATCTCGTCTCCTCCTCCCTTTTCAATCGTGTCTCCTCGTCCTCCCTCTCCCTTCTCATCTCCTCCTCCCTCTCCCTTCTCACCTCCTCCTCCCTCTCCCTTCTCCTCTCGTCCTCCCTCTCCCTTCTCCTCTCGTCCTCCCTCTCCCTTCTCCTCTCGTCCTCCCTCTCCCTTCTCACCTCCTCTTCCCTCTCCCTCCTCATCTCAACGTTCCTCTCGTCACGTTGTCGACGTACGAGATCAGTATGATCATCGTATCCTCCATGTTTGTATGTGTCGTCTTCATCCTTCCGGCTCGGATCTTTTTGCCATTCTCTCTGAGCTTGAACCTCTTGCTCTGACTCGACCTCGGGTGTGCTTCCAGTGACTTGATGGTGAGCGACCACAAGATCTGCTGAGCGAGCAAGTGAGAGACATCAACATCGGGCTGCTCTCACTGCTGCAGGCGAAGGGATTTCTGTCTCGCTGCGCTTCCTCGGGCCTTAACTTCGCTTGTCTGATCAGAAACATTCACAAGAGAGAACGCCAGGGCGGGAGGCAGCGGCGAGGATAACGCGAGGAAGACAGGAGGCGGGAAAGAAGGAGGGCCAGGACTACAATATGAGTGGCGAGGAGGAGGGGAAGGAGACGAAGGGGAAGGAAAAGAAGGGGAAGGAGCAGGAGCAGGAGCAGGAGCAGGAGCAGGAGCAGGAGCAGGAGCAGGAGCAGGAGCAGGAGCAGGAGCAGGAGCAGGAGCAGTGCATCACAGCTCTAAGAATCGCTTTCGCTTCTGCTCGTAGACTTCATCGCGGGTCCTCGAACTCTCTGCCATGTCGAGGTCAACGACAAGACTCGAGGGGGTAAGAGCACCGCTGCCAGCTGAAGGAACCCTCCTGCTCCCATGCGACAGCGCTGGAAGTTGAGACCCTGATCCTGTCCCAGGCTGACATGTGCCGTCAGCACCCAGAGCCAGTAACACAGCGAGCAACCTGTTCCGCTGGGATAAGGCTCTTCTCCGAGTAATTCTTGGCTGCAAACTCCTGCTTTCTAAGTCGGATTCTCCTCTCCCTGCCATGAGTATGAGGAGTGCCGTACGTGCCCTGGCCTTGACCTGTCCGTCTCCTGCTTGTTCACCACCAGCGCTGCGGCTCCTCCGTAGGCGCTCATGCCGGCAAGGATGGAATTCTTCAAGAGGTTGGAGAGGGAGGGAAGCGTGAAAGACTCACAGGCTTAAGTGAAGACCTGTGAAGAAACACGACCTGATCACCTCTCCCTCCCTCCCTCTCTCCCTCTCTCTCTCCCTCCCTCCCTCTCTCCCTCGCTCCCTCGCTCCCTCGCTCCCTCGCTCCCTCGCTCCCTCGCTCCCTCGCTCCCTCCCTCCCTCCCTCCCTCCCCTCCCCTCCTCCCCTCTGCTTGCCTGGTCGATCGCTTTCCCGCCATACTGAACCCCTCATCCCCACAATGCGATCAACCCTACCTGGTTAAAAGGGTGAAAAGGATTGGGTAAATGGGGGGTGGTCAAGGACGTCAGTTGATGTCTTGACAAGAAACTTTGGGAACGAGGTATGAAGGAGCGAAGGGATGAGAAGAGAGGAGAGGAGAGGAGATGAGAGGAGAGGAGAGGAGAGGAGAGGAGAGGAGAGGAGAGTAGAGGAGAGGAGAGGAGAGGAGAGGAGAGGAGAGGAGAGGAGTTGATCATTTGGAGTAATTAGCAGTAAAACAGAGGTCAAAGCCAGGGGGGGGAGCAAGGGAGGAGGAGGAGGAGGAGAGGTATTGCATGGTAAGATTACATGAGGGTTCACGAGTTGTGATAGTCTAGAGAAAAGGATGCCGACTTGCTTGTCTTTCTCTCTCCCTCGCCTCATTTAGTTTGCTAGCAGCCATGAAGTTTTCTTCTCTTATCGGCGGATGGGCATGAAGACTCAGCGACAGCACCGGCATCAGAGCTCCTCCCCTCCCCTCCCCTCCCTCAAGCCCCTCAGATCCTCCACGGCTAGCCCCAGCTCTCTCGCCTCCTCGCCGACTATGAACGTGGACAAGCGAGGGAGGAAGGAGGCGGGGCATCTGATGGAGGCGTGGAGGGAGAGTCCTGCCATGGAGCTCGAGGGCGCGCGAAGTCTCGACGCCTTCATGCGGTCACATCGGCATGACGCGGAGACGTCGCGACAGACTTCAGCTCTGATCCTCTACCGCCTGAACGCGAAGCTGGAGGAGGAGAGGAAGAAGAGCGCGGAGAGAGCGAGGGAGGTGGAGGAGCTTCAGAAGGAGGTTGGGGAGCGGAGGCAGCAGGAGACGCTGCTGCGAGCCGAGCGAGATATCGAGCGCATGCTGGTAGCCAAGGCGAGGATGCTCATCACAGAGGCAGACGTGTCGCGAGCGCTGGCGCTGGCAGACTACGAGCAGGAGGTGAGGACGAGGGAGCGACTAGCAGTGAAGCTACACGAGACTGAAGCGAAGCTCTCCTCCGAGCAAGAGATGTTCCGCCACTTCCTCCTCCTGCTGGAGGCGGAAAAGCTCAAGACAAAGGAGCTGAACAGACGAGTGGAGGGGCTGGAGGAAGCGAAGATGGCGGCGATGGAGGAGGCAGCGAGGCAGAAGCGAACGATCAGCGAGCTGCAGAGGTCGGGGGAGAAGCAGAAGAGACTGTTCTCAGCGGAGCGAAGAAGCCTCAACAAGAAGATATTGAACATTCAGTTGGCAGGAGCAGCAGCCTCTTCTCCCTCCTCCTCCTCGCCTCCTCGTCTCAAACCAGCCAAACGGTCACTCCCTGAACAAACTTCTGCTTCCATCCCCTCGTCTCCCGCGTCTGATCTGAAGGCGAGCGGAAACGAAGAGGCGGGGGAGGAAGAGAGGGAGAGGAGAGAAGAGGAGGAGGAGGAGACGAAACAGGTCAGAGAGAGTCTGTCTCCGCACGAAGACGATGCGCAGGAGGTTGAGCGAACGTACGAGCAGCTGAAAGCGCTTGAGGACTTGTACCGGGATCTGCAGGAACGAAACATGCGGGTGGAGGTCGAGTTGGAGCAGGCGAAGGAGGAGGGGAGGAGGAGGGAAGGTGCTCTGGGTGCAGAGTTAGAAGAGATCAGAATCAGGGAACAAGAAGTCTCGAAGAAGCTGGAGGAGAGCGAGAGGAGAGCAGGAGAGCAGGAGGAGGCGCTTGTGAGCGTAAACGAATCTCTCAGAGGGGAGCAGGAGAAGGTTGAGAGGCTCTCGAGTTCTCTGTCGTCCGTGGAGGAGCAGCTCGAGCAGGCCAAGCAAGAGCTGAGCGCTGCTGGACAGCAGCTGGAGGATCTGAGCATGCGAGCGACGGAGCTGAGCTTGCAGGCGAGCATGTTGAGCAAGAGCCTCAAGGAGACGGAGGGGAAGAGGGCGGAGGCGGAGGCTTCGCTGCATGCCGCACAAGAGGACAACAAGATGCTCAAGAAGCAGGTGGGGTGGCAGCAGGAAGAGGCGCGAGAAGCCGAGGAAAGGATCAGTAAGTTGGAGACAGAGATACGCATGAAAGAAATCCTCATCAAGGTACTCGTGAATCTTCTTCCTCCCACCTCCTTCCTCCTGCTCCTCCTCCTCTCACCTCCATTCGTCCAACTTCTCTCCTCTTCCCACCCTCCAGCTCATCCTCGATCGCTCCTCTCCTCATCGATTCTGATTGTTTGCTCTTTACTCAGTCGCTTGAGATTGGCGAGAGGACCGAGCTTGAGGTGCTGGTACTCGGAGAACTCAATGAGATACAGGTTGGAGGAGGAGGAGGAGGAGGAGGAGGAGGAGGGAAGATAACAGCGGCGTAGGTGACGATGGAGCGGAAGGATCTTCCAAGTGTCGCTTGCTGTGTGTTGATTTCATGGGTGTTTCGCGAAGTCCCCGATCTGCTGGTGTACGAGAGCCAATGTCGAGTAGCACGACGCGATGGACGTATGGATTGGCCCACACGTCTGGTGCAGCACGTAGAGCGCCTCGTGCAGTGCCTCCAGCGCGCGGTGCAGGTTTCCAATCCGCTGGAACTTCTTCCCTGCTGACAACAATTCCTGCGCCTCCTTGCACTCATGAGAAACTCCCTTTGTGACAGGAAACAATTGAAGAATGTCCTTCTTGAGCAAATGGTTGCGGGGCCTTGAAATCATACTCCCTTGCCTGGAAAACAA